CCACAAGGTCCCCAAACGACCCTCTGCAGGTTTTAAAATTCAGAGTTGTCCTTCTCCTAGACCAGTTGCCATCCAAGGCTATAGAACCCATTTTGTCCTGCTATTTACCCATAGATGGAGGGAGAAGAAGAGGATTTGTACCTTTCCCAAGAATATTAGCATGTAAGTGAATGTAATGGATTCAACTGGAATTTGAAATTGGCTCTCTGATTCCTCAATCCGAGCCACTATCCACTACTTCACTGTGCCTCCCATAATAGTAATAAGTACAGTATTTTTAATATAGAAAAATTCAGATCACTGCTTAAAAAGCCAGTTGCAAACAAATGTGAACTCCATCAGACAATCAGCCTAATGAGATATATAACAAAACTTATTATTCAAATTCTGATGAATAGAGTGTGCAGCAGAATTAGACCAGAAATAGGACAGGAACAGTGCAAATTTTTTAAAGGCACTACAAAAAGGAATTTAATATTTATGCTCAGAATGATATCAGAAAGAGCAATACAAATGCAAAAGGATGTATACCTAATTTTTATAGATTATTCAAAAGCATTTGATAAAATACATCACAAAGAACTGTTGGAAATGCTGGGTAACTGTGACATTTGGGAAGGATATTAGAATGGCCAAATAGTGCTTCTGAGCAGTGACATGCAGAGGCTTGATGTTTGGTGATTCCCAGGGACAATTCATTGATTGTATTCCCCTAAGACTCAAGTAGGGGGGAGCCTATAGGGCCTAGTACTGAGAAATGTGAGAAAAGAAGACATTTTAAATATGTAAAAACAGATGAAACATGAAATAAACACTTTATTCAAATTAAATATAAACTAAATTTTTACTTCACTCTTTGATTGGATGCTCTCTCAACATGGATGCCTGGGCCCATCGCATGCTCTGCCCTCCTCCTTCTGCACACTACTGCTGCAAGAGAAAATAATAACATAATCAAGATGTTGATTTTCCACAATAACTTAAACATAAGATTAAGAAGGAAATTCCCATCAATATTAGAAAGAGCAAAACAGTGGAATCAGGAAACCTATTTTTTTAAGTTTTAGGAGAAAGATTTTATAGATTTCAACCTACAATAATATTAACTGTTTGACCAATGAGTGCTACATGTTTCCTGCATGTAAAGGGTTGATCTCACTCTTACCACATGTTGATTCTCAATTCTTCCTCAGGTGTCTGTTGTGTGTGAGAAGGTTAAATCTTGCTCTAAGGGAAATGTACTGATTCTTCATAGGGTCAGGGGTTAATACAGAGGGCAGGAGTAGAAAATTCAAACAAGATTAAAACAAATGCTATAGATATGAGAAAGGAAGAGTCTGCTTCCTCTGAGGAATATTCAGTTTTCTAAAACATGAGAGGCACCATGAAAATATGGAGAATATACAGAATAAATGAATTTTATTAAAGATATGACAAATGAAAAATTTGGTTTGTTTTGATCAATGGGTTATTTTCCAAGATTTTTATTCTGTAATGTTTTTTTTTCAAAAACTGGTAATTTAAAAAATGTTTCATGGGTATATTATTTTCCCAAAAATGTATTGTTTGGTTTGTTTTGTTTACAACATACCAACCTCATGACAAAATTGCTGGTAAGGTAATATTTTTCCTTTCAAAAATGTATCATGGGTAATATCCCAAAATGTATTGTTTGTTTTGTTTTGTTTTACAACATACACAAGGTTATGGGTTATTTAAATAATTTTATTGCTGGCTTTTTTTTTTTTCAAAAAATGTATTTCTGGTAATGTTTTTCCTTCAAAATGTATCATGGGTAATATTATTTTAAAAATGTATTGTTTGGTTTGTTTTGTTTTACAAACATACCAAATTCAATGAATTTTTTTTTATTGCTGGTAATGTTTTTTTTCAAAATGTATTTTGGTAATGTTTTTCCTTCAAAAATGTATCATGGGTAATATTATTTTCCCAAAAATGTATTGTTTGGTTTGTTTTGTTTTACAACATACCAACCTCAATGGGTTATTTAAATGCCGACAAGATTTTTATTGCTGGTAATGTTTTTTTTTCAAAAATGTATTTCTGGTAATGTTTTTCCTTCAAAAATGTATCATGGGTAATATTATTTTCCCAAAAATGTATTGTTTGGTTTGTTTTGTTTTACAAACATACCAACCTCAATGGGTTATTTAAATGCCGACAATTTTTTTATTGCTGGTAATGTTTTTTTTCAAAAATGTATTTCTGGTAATGTTTTTCCTTCAAAAATGTATCATGGGTATTATTTTCCAAAAATGTATTGTTTGGTTTGTTTTGTTTTTTGGGTTATTTTACCGACAAGATTTTTTATTGCTGGTAATGTTTTTTTTCAAAAATGTATACCTGGTAATGTTTTTCCAGAACGAAAAATGTATCTCAAAAAATGGTTTTGCAACATACCAACCTCAATGGGTTATTTAATGCCGACAAGATTTTTATTGCTGGTAATTTTTTTTTTTTTTTCAAAAAATGTATTTCTGGTAATGTTTTCCTTTGTATCATGGGTAATATTATTTTCCCAAAAAATGTATTGTTTGGTTTGTTTTGTTTTACAACATACCAACCTCAATGGGTTATTTTCCGACAAGATTTTTATTGCTGGTAATGTTTTTTTTTCAAAAATGTATTTCTGGTAATGTTTTTCCTTCAAAAATGTATCATGGGTAATATTATTTTCCCAAAAATGTATTGTTTGGTTTGTTTTGTTTTACAACATACCAACCTCAATGGGTTATTTAAATGCCGACAAGATTTTTATTGCTGGTAATGTTTTTTTTTCAAAAATGTATTTCTGGTAATGTTTTCCTTCAAAAAAATGGGTAATATTATATCAAAAATGTATTGTTTGGTTTGTTTTGTTTTACAACATACCAACCTAATGGGTATTTAATGCCGACAAGATTTTTATTGGTAATGTTTTTTTAATATTTTCCTTCAAAAATGTAATGGGTAATATTATTTTCCCAAAAATGTATTGTTTGGTTTGTTTTGTTTTACAAACATACCAAAAATGGGTTATTTAATGCCGACAAGATTTTTTATTGCTGGTAATGTTTTTTTTTTCAAAATGGTATTATTTTCCCAAAATGTATTGTTTGGTTTGTTTTGTTTTTACAACATACCAACCTCAATGGGTTATTTAATGCCGACAAGATTTTTATTGCTGGTAATGTTTTTTTTCAAAAATGTATTTCTGGTAATGTTTTTCCTTCAAAAAAATGGGTAATATTATTTTCCCAAAATGTATTGTTTGGTTTGTTTTGTTTTACAACATACCAACCTCAATGGGTTATTTAATGCCGACAAAAGTATTTCTGGTAATGTTTTTTTCAAAAATTATCATGGTCCAAAAAATGTATTGTTTGGTTTGTTTTTTTTTTCAATGGGTTAAAAATGTATTTTTTTTTTCAAAAATTTAATGTTTTTCCTTCAAAATGTATCATTTATTTTCCCAAAAATGTATTGTTTGGTTTGTTTTGTTTTTACAACATACCAACCTCAATGGGTTATTTAATGCCGACAAGATTTTTATTGCTGGTAATGTTTTTTTCAAAAAAATGTTTTTGGTAATGTTTTTTCAAAAATGTATCATGGGTAATATTATTTTCCCAAAAATGTATTTTTTGTTATTTAATGCCGACAAGATTTTTTATTGCTAAAAAATTTTTATTTTCCCAAAAATGTATTGTTTGGTTTGTTTTGTTTTACAACATACCAACCTCAATGGGTTATTTAAATGCCAAACAAGATTTTTATTGCTGGTAATGTTTTTTTTTTTGTATTTTGTTGGTATCATGTTTTTTTTCCCAAAAATTGTTTGGTTTTTCAATGGGTTTTTAATGCCAAAATTTTTTATTGCTGGGTTTTTTTTCAAAATATTAATTTTTTCAAAATGTAATATTATTTTTTTTTTCCCAAAAATGTATTGTTTGGTTTGTTTTGTTTTACAACATACCAACCTCAATGGGTTATTTAATGCCGACAAGATTTTTATTGCTGGTAATGTTTTTTTTTCAAAAATGTATTTCTGGTAATGTTTTTCCTTCAAAAATGTATCATGGGTAATATTATTTTCCCAAAAATGTATTGTTTGGTTTGTTTTGTTTTACAACATACCAACCTCAATGGGTTATTTAAACAAGATTTTATTGCTGGTAATATTTTTTTTTCCAAAATGTATATTTTTGTTTTTTCCAAAAATTTATTGCTGGTAATAATTTTTTACAAAAAGATATTGCTGGTATCAAAACCTATTTTTACACTTTCATAGTGCTTTGACCCCAGTTTGGGGGTTAACTATTTGCACATATTTGGGATTCTAACAGGTGCTACCACCCCAGATTAGGGTGGACCTGAAAACACCAGTAATTAAGAGGTGTGTTCCACACTGCTCAAAACCTCCTGATCAGAGGCCTTGCTGTTGGACGTAGTTTATCATCTTACCCAAGATGCAGATGTAGTTTATAGTCTTACCCAGGATTTTGGAAATATGACAAAATGATATGGAATATATGAAGGAAAAAGATCAGAGAAATATTATCAAAGAAAGAATGGGGAGTTATGAAGAAAAAGAATGGGGAGTGAAAGATTGGTGTTGTAACCTAGGGAAAGGTTACTGAATAAGAATAACCAAAACAAAGGGCAAAAATTCCCCATAGATTCCGTATACATGGGGTCGGGTAGCTGTCTATCTCCCCAGATGAGACTCTGCCTTTGATATAGCCTCATCTGGGTTCCTTTCTGCCCAGGGACAAAGTTTGATAAGCACCCCAGGAAGTAAATTCCACTGTGAATCAACATACAATATATTCTACTGTATTTATACAGATTGGGATATACCTATTATAGTCAGTAGGTACAGTATAACAATTGGTAAGGAAGGAAGAAAAAAAATTGGGGTATTATGAAGAAAGAAAGATTGGAGAGGGATGAAGAAAAAAAAAATTGTGGAAGGATGAGGGAAAAAGTTTTGGGGGGTATTAATAAAAAAGATTTGGGAAATGTGAAGAAAAAATTTGTTGGTAGTATAAAGAAGAAAGATTGATGTGGGAGGAAGAAAAATGATTTGGGGGGTATGAAGAGGAAGGTTGGGGCTGTATGAAGGCAAAAAAGATTGGGGAGGGGATGAATAAAAATGTTTTGGGAGGTATGAATAAAAATGATTTGGGAGGTATGAAGAGGAAGGTTGGGGCTGTATGAAGGCAAAAAAGATTGGGGAGGGGATGAATAAAAATGTTTTGGGAGGTATGAATAAAAATGATTTGGGAGGTATGAAGAAAGAAAGGTTTGGGAGATACGAAAAAAGATTGTGGAGGGATGAAGAAAACTGTTTTAGGAGGTATGAATAAAAATGATTTGGGAGGTATGAAGAAAGAAAGGTTTGGGAGGTACGAAAAAAGGTTGGGGAGGGATGAAGAAAACTGCTTTAGGAGGTATGAATAAAAATGATTTGGGAGGTATAAAGAAAGAAAGGATTGAGAGGTACGAAAAAGATTGGGGGGGATGAAGAAAGAAAGAGTGATAAAGAAAAATGGTTTGAGAGGTATGAAGAAAGAAAGCATGAACAGGAATGAAAAAAAAATATTTGGGAGGTCTCAATAAAAGAAAGATCGATAAAGGATGAAGTACAAAGCTTTGTCATGTATGAAGACAAAAAAGATTTGGGAATTATGAAGAAAGAAGCATTTGGGATGTATGAAGGAAAAAGGTCACCACAAACCAAATATTCAATATGCAATAAAGGTAAAAATCAAAATATTTCAGAAGCTTTATTTTTCAATTTGTAAATGATGTAATTGGATAGTACTTATGTATTTTTAATGCATTTAACAGTTTATATCGATAGCATAACATACTAACATACAAATAAACAATAACAAGTCTAGAAGGCACCAAAAAATCATAGTACTACTATACTTAAATACAATTTTTGAAATTTCATGTTGGGGTGAGATTTTTTTAAAAAATAAACAGAATTAAGCACTTCTTCATATTTTTGAATAAAAGTTCATTGAATCATGATACGGTAAATCAATTATTTTACAAAAAGTTGTAACCCTAGTGTACACAGTGAAAAAAAGGAAAGGAAAACCATTAGCGAAGTGAGTGCATGTGTGTGTGTGTGTGTGTGTGCATTTGTGTGTGTATGTGAGTGCATGCAAGTGCAAGCACCACGAAAGAAAGGAAGACTGGACAAGTCTTTTACATACCGCATTCTAGAATGAAAAGAGGAAGTGGAAGATTATTTCCAAGCATTTATAGTCCTGAACCAGTGCCCCCTGATGTGCATTGGCAGACCAAGTGGGAATAATCCCCACAACGTACAGGAGACTTTCTCTAAAAACACCCCATCTCCACCCTGCATGGGGAAAAATAGGAGTAGATATCTTTTGTTTATTGCCCACTTCACATTCCGTCTTTATTATTAATGTAATGGAATAACCAGTCACCCCCATGAATGATTACACTATAGGTAGTAAGTACCTATAAAGTCTATTATCTACAAGAGACTTGGGGAAGAGTGAGAGAGAGAAGACGCAAGCACGTCTGACCTTCCAATTAGTAGCATTCACAACTAGATTGACCTGTGTGTATAACTGTACCGTATTTTATATTGTACTGATTGTGTACAATAAACCTTCTTCTATTATCCACCTGGTGTTACATGTTTATTCCCTTAGCACAGAATATAACAATTAACTTTATATAATAAACAAATATAAATAGAAAAGGATGTGTCAAAAGAATGTGTCTTACAAGAGAAAGATGCAAAAGATACAAAAAATGAAAGAGGGGAAAATAAATTACAATGAAGGAGTTACTTATGAGAGAAAGATTAGAGAGATATAACGAAGAAAAAGTGAAGAATGAATAATAATGAATGATTTAAGAAATATTACAAGAAAAAGATTGGGGAGATATGAAGAAGGAAAAAGTGAAGAATGAATAATAATGAATGATTTAAAAAATATTACAAGAATTAAAATTGGGGAGATATGAAGAAGGAAAAAGTGAAGAATGAATAATAATGAATGATTTAAAAAATATTACAAGAAAAAGATTGGGGAGATATGAAGAAGGAAAAAGTGAAGAATGAATAATAATGAATGATTTAAAAAATATTACAAGAATTAAAATTGGGGAGATATGAAGAAGGAAAAAGTGAAGAATGAATAATAATGAATGATTTAAGAAATATTACAAGAAAAAGATTGGGGAGATATGAAGAAGGAAAAAGTGAAGAATGAATAATAATGAATGATTTAAGAAATATTACAAGAAAAAGATTAGGAAGATATGAAGAAGGAAAAAGTGAAGAATGAATAATAATGAATGATTTAAAAAATATTACAAGAATTAAAATTGGGGAGATATGAAGAAGGAAAAAGTGAAGAATGAATAATAATGAATGATTTAAGAAATATTACAAGAATTAAAATTGGGGAGATATGAAGAAGGAAAAAGTGAAGAATGAATAATAATGAATGATTTAAAAAATATTACAAGAATTAAAATTGGGGAGATATGAAGAAGGAAAAAGTGAAGAATGAATAATAATGAATGATTTAAGAAATATTACAAGAAAAAGATTGGGGAGATATGAAGAAGGAAAAAGTGAAGAATGAATAATAATGAATGATTTAAAAAATATTACAAGAAAAAGATTAGGAAGATATGAAGAAGGAAAAAGTGAAGAATGAATAATAATGAATGATTTAAGAAATATTACAAGAATTAAGATTGGGGAGATATGAAGAAGGAAAATGTGAAGAATGAATAATAATGAATGATTTAAAAAATATTACAAGAATTAAGATGGGGGAGATATGAAGAAGGAAAAAGTGAAGAATGAATAATGAATGATTTAAGAAATATTACAAGAAAAAGATTGGTAAGATATGAAAAAGGAAAAAGTGAAGAATGAATAATAATGAATGATTTAAGAAATATTACGAGAAAAATATTGGGGAGATATGAAGAAGGAAAAAGTGAAGAATTAATAATAATGAATGATTTAAGAAATATTACAAGAAAAAGATTGGAGAGATATGAAGAAGGAAAAAGTGAAGAATGAATAATAATGAATGATTTAAAAAATATTACAAGAATTAAAATTGGGGAGACATGAAGAAGGAAAAAAGTGAAGAATGAATAATAATGAATGATTTAAGAAATATTACAAGAAAAAGATTAGGGAGATATGAAGAAGGAAAAGTGAAGAATGAATAATAATGAATGATTTAAAAAATATTACAAGAATTAAAATTGGGGAGATATGAAGAAGAAAAAAAGTGAAGAATGAATAATAATGAATGATTTAAAAATATTACAAGAATTAAAATTGGGGAGATATGAAGAAGGAAAAGTGAAGAATGAATAATAATGAATGATTTAAGAAATATTAAAATAAAGAAAAAGATTGGGGAGATATGAAGAAGGAAAAAGTGAAGAATGAATAATAATGAATGATTTAAAAAAATATTACAAGAATTAAAATTGGGGAGATATGAAGAAGGAAAAAGTGAAGAATGAATAATAATGAATGATTTAAGAAATATTACAAGAAAAGATTAGGAAGATATGAAGAAGGAAAAGTGAAGAATGAATAATAATGAATGATTTAAAAAATATTACAAGAATTAAAATTGGGGAGATATGAAGAAGGAAAAAGTGAAGAATGAATAATAATGAATGATTTAAGAAATATTACAAGAAAAAGATTGGGGAGATATGAAGAAGGAAAAAGTGAAGAATGAATAATAATGAATGATTTAAGAAATATTACAAGAATTAAAATTGGGGAGATATGAAGAAGGAAAAAGTGAAGAATGAATAATAATGAATGATTTAAGAAATATTACAAGAAAAAGATTGGGGAGATATGAAGAAGGAAAAAGTGAAGAATGAATAATAATGAATGATTTAAAAATATTACAAGAAAAAGATTAGGAAGATATGAAGAAGGAAAAGTGAAGAATGAATAATAATGAATGATTTAAGAAATATTACAAGAATTAAGATTGGGGAGATATGAAGAAGGAAAATGTGAAGAATGAATAATAATGAATGATTTAAAAAATATTACAAGAATTAAGATTGGGGAGATATGAAGAAGAAAAAAGTGAAGAATGAATAATGAATGATTTAAGAAATATTACAAGAAAAAGATTGGTAAGATATGAAAAAGGAAAAAGTGAAGAATGAATAATAATGAATGATTTAAGAAATATTACGAGAAAAATATTGGGGAGATATGAAGAAGGAAAAAGTGAAGAATTAATAATAATGAATGATTTAAGAAATATTACAAGAATTAAAATTGGGGAGATATGAAGAAGGAAAATGTGAAGAATGAATAATAATGAATGATTTAAAAAATATTACAAGAATTAAAATTGGGGAGATATGAAGAAGGAAAAAGTGAAGAATGAATAATAATGAATGATTTAAGAAATATTACAAGAAAAAGATTAGGAAGATATGAAGGTGGAAAAAGTGAAGAATGAATAATAATGAATGATTTAAGAAATATTACAAGAATTAAAATTGGGGAGATATGAAGAAGGAAAAAAGAATGAAGAATGATTTAAAAAAATAACAAGTGAATGAAAATGAAGAATTTTAATGAATGATTTAAAAAATTAAGAATTAAAATTGGGGAGATATGAAGAAGGAAAAAGTGAAGAATGAATAATGAATGATTTTAGAAATATTACAAGAATTAAATTGGGGAGATTGAAAAAGTGAAGAATGAATAATGAAAAAGGAAAAAGTGAAGAATGAATAATAATGAATAATTTAGGAAATATTACGAGAAAATATTGGGAAGATAATGAATGAAGGAAAAGTGAAGAATGAATAATAAATGAATGAACTTAAGAAATATTAAAAATATTACAAGAAAAAGAAAGGAAAAGGAAGAATGATAATGAATGATTTAAAAAGAAGGAAGAAAAAGTGAAGAATGAATAATAATGAATGATTTAAAAAAATACAAGAATTATGAAGAAGAAAAAGTGAAGAAAAAAGATTTAAAAATATTACAAGAAAAAGATTGGGGAGATATGAAGAAGGAAAAAGTGAAGAATGAATAATAATGAATGATTTAAAAAATTACAAGAATTAAAATTGAGGAGATATGAAGAAGGAAAAAAGTGAAGAATGAATAATAATGAATGATTTAAAAATATTACAAGAATAAAATTGGGGAGAATATTAAAAGAAGAATGAATTGAAAATTTAAAAATATTACAAGAATTAAAATTGGGGAGATAAAGAAGGTGAAGAATGAATAATAATGAATGATTTAAAAAATATTACAAGAAAAAGATTGGGGAGATATGAAGAAGGAAAAAGTGAAGAATGAATAATAATGAATGATTTAAAAAATATTACAAGAATTAAATTAAAATTGAAGAATGAATAATAATGAATGATTTAAGAAGAAGGAAAAGGAAAAAGTGAAGAATGAATAATAATGAATGATTTAAAAAAAATATTACAAGAAAAAAATTGAGGAGATATGAAGAAAAAAAGGAAGAAAAAATGAAGAATGAATAATAAAGAAAATGATTTTTGAAGAAGGAAAAGTGAAGAAAAAATATTTAAAAAATATTACAAGAAAAAAAGACTGAGGAGATATGAAGAAGGAAAAAGTGAAGAATGAATAATAATGAATGATCTAAAAAATTACAAGAATTAAATTAAGAGATATGAAGAAGGAAAAGTGAAGAATGGGATTTAAGATATACAAAAAAAAGAAGAATGAAGAAGGAAAAGTGAAGAATGAATAATAATGAATGATTTAAAAAATATTACAAGTAAAAGACTGAGGAGATATGAAGAAAAAAAAAGAAGAATGAATAATAATGAATGATCTAAAAAAATATTACAAGAATTAAGATTGGGGAGATATGAAGAAGGAAAAAGTGAAGAATGAATAATAATGAATGATTTAAGAAATATTACAAGAAAAAGATTGGGGAGATATGAAGAAGGAAAAAGTGAAGAATGAATAATAATGAATGATTTAAAAAAATATTACAAGTAAAAGACTGAGGAGATATGAAGAAGGAAAAAGTGAAGAATGAATAATAATGAATGATTTGAAGAAGGAAAAGAAAATGAATTAATGAATGATTTAAGAAATATTAAAGAAAAAAGATTAGGAAGGAAGAAGGAAAATGAAGAATGAATAATAATGAATGATTTAAGAAATATTACAAGAAAAAGATTGAATGAAGAAGGAAAAAGGAAGAATGAATTTGAATGATTTAAAAAATATTACAAGTAAAAGACTGAGGAGATATGAAGAAGGAAAAAGTGAAGAATGAATAATAATGAATGATTTAAGAAATATTACAAGAATTAAGATTGGGGAGATATGAAGAAGGAAAAAGTGAAGAATGAATAATGAATGATTTAAAAAATATTACAAGAAAAAGACTGAGGAGATAAGAAGAAGAAAAAAAGGAATGAAAAGTGAAGAATGAATAATAATGAATAATTGGGAGATATGAAAAAAGGAAAAAGGAAAATGAATAATAATGAACGAGAAAAATATTGAGAAAATATGAAGAAGGAAAAAGTGAAGAATGAATAATAATGAATGATTTAAGAAATATTACAAGAAAAAGATTGGGGAGACATGAAGAAGGAAAAGTGAAGAATGAATAATAATGAATGATTTAAGAAATATTACAAGTAAAAGACTGAGGAGATATGAAGAAGGAAAAAGTGAAGAATGAATAATAATGAATGATCTAAAAATATTACAAGAATTAAGATTGGGGAGATATGAAGAAGGAAAAAGTGAAGAATGAATAATAATGAATGATTTAAGAAATATTACAAGAAAAAGATTGGGGAGACATGAAGAAGGAAAAAGTGAAGAATGAATAATAATGAATGATTTAAAAAAATATTACAAGTAAAAGACTGAGGAGATATGAGGAAGGAAAAAGTGAAGAATGAATAATAATGAATGATCTAAAAATATTACAAGAATTAAGATTGGGGAGATATGAAGAAGGAAAAAGTGAAGAATGAATAATAATGAATGATTTAAGAAATATTACAAGAAAAAGATTAGGAAGATATGAAGAAGGAAAAAGTGAAGAATGAATAATAATGAATGATTTAAGAAATATTACAAGAAAAAGATTGGGGAGATATGAAGAAGGAAAAAGTGAAGAATGAATAATAATGAATGATTTAAAAAAATATTACAAGTAAAAGACTGAGGAGATATGAAGAAGGAAAAAGTGAAGAATGAATAATAATGAATGATTTAAGAAATATTACAAGAATTAAGATTGGGGAGACATGAAGAAGGAAAAAGTGAAGATTGAATAATAATGAATGATTTAAAAAAATATTACAAGTAAAAGACTGAGGAGATATGAAGAAGGAAAAAGTGAAGAATGAATAATAATGAATGATCTAAAAATATTACAAGAATTAAGATTGGGGAGATATGAAGAAGGAAAAAAGTGAATAAAGAATGATTTAAGAAAATAAAAAATTAGGAAGATTGAAAAAATGAAGAATTACAAGAATGAAAAAGATTACAAGAAAAAGATTGGGGAGACATGAAGAAGGAAAAAGTGAAGATTGAATAATAATGAATGATTTAAAAAATATTACAAGTAAAAGACTGAGGAGATATGAAGAAGGAAAAAGTGAAGAATGAATAATAATGAATGATTTAAGAAATATTACAAGAAAAATATTGTGGAGATATGAAGAAGGAAAAAGTCAGGAATAACAATGAATTAAAAATATTTTAAGAGAAAGATTGGCAATTTATGAAAAAAGAAAATTGAAAAGTAAATATCAATGAATGCTTTAAGAAATATTATGAGAAAAAAATTGGAGAGAATATGAAGAAAGAAAAAGTGGAGAATAAATTACAATGATTTAAGAAATATCACAAATGGAAGATTGGGGAGTTAGGAAGAAAGAAAAAGTCGGGAATAACAATGAATGAGTTAAGAAATGTTATGAGAGAAAGATTGGGGAAATATGAAGAAAGAAAAAGTGGAAAATAAATAACAATGAATGTGTTACGATATATTACAAGTGAAATATTGGGGGAGATATGAACAAAAAAAGTTAGAGGATATATTAAAGCAAAAATTTGAGGAGAGATAAAGAAAGAAAATTGTTGCAGAATTTCAAGAAAGATTCTGGAAATATTAAGGAATAATGATGAGTATGATATGAATATAGAATTATTGCGGGAATTTTACCAAAGAAAGAAAAGGAAACATTAAGAAAAAAGATTGCAAAATGATTGAATAAATATTAGGAAATTAATATTTTGGAAATATTAACAAAAGAAGATTTTGAAATCCTATGAAAGAAATATTGGCAAGATATGACGAAAGAAAGACAGAAAATATTAAGAATGAACAATTTGGGGAATTTTCACAAAGAACAATTTGGGAGATATGAATTGACAGTAGCCTTTCTCTAAAAATTGCCTTTCTTTTGCTTGGGAGGAATGACTTGCAATCTTACTTTTACTTTTTATCAATGTCACTACCCAGCCCATGTTGATAACCTCAGCTACTTTACACTTTTTTCAGTAGCAAAAGTTATCAAAGTTAATGATTTATGGTTTGAAAGATTTCCTGACTGATAAGTCGACCCCCACCCCACAAATGAATTTGTCTGGGCCTGCCATTTTAACATCTGGAAACTAATTAACTAAATAATTTGTGGAACAAGTGGAAGAAAAAATATCAGCTGAAGTTAATTGACTTACAATGCTACTAATTTTTTAAATCAAAATTTCATTCCGAATCCACTGCGGACTTCTACAAGAATTTTATCAAAATACACCTTTAAATGCCAAATCTAGATGCGTCGTCAGTGTTGTTGCCCCCATGTCACTAGAAGTTTTGGGTCTAAATAAACAACAGGCTTCTTCGATGGGCGACCCGACCGAATATGATCAGTATTCGGCCCGCACCTAGAACAAAAAATATGTTTTGTCAAGCGGAAAATATAAAGCCTGTTGAATAATGTGAAAATGATGGTATCATTATTTGGAAGTACATACGCTTGTGAATGATGTTTTTTAGAAAATGAAATATACCAAAAGCCATTTAAGAACGAGATTGGGTGATGACCACCTAGAGGATGTTTTGCTCTTGATACCAGCAAATATTTCTACAGACATGGAAAAGTTATTGAGAGCAGAATCATGTGTCTCATTAAATAATTTACCATTTCTAACTGTCTTTTGCTTGCTGTAAGGAATTTGGATTTTTTGTTGATTGTTATTTGTTATCCTGGTATTCCTGTAGTAAAATACAAAACACTTGTTTAAATAATATAAAATTTACTTGGTTGTTTTTTTCTGTTTAAATCTCTAGACCAAAGCAACCTTCTGGATGGAATGATCTGAGATTGAAACAATTTATTATATTACATTTGATATCATGGACTTTCTCCAAGACACAGCATAGCTTTCTGGCCCATTCTTTGCAAAAGGTTGTTGACCCCTGGTCTAAGGGAAATGACTTTGCTTCACATTTTCTATGTATAAAAATCTAGAGACTGTATTAAATTATATACACGTTTTTTACCATAAAAATTAAGAGATTGCATTATACATGAAAATAAAATATCCAAACATTTGACAGTAACAATTAAGGTAGCAAACCACCCACATTCTCTTCATATTCCATCGGCAAGAAGTAAGTTCCATTCAAAAAGCTTCTTCCCATGACCCAGTGCCCTGTGGAACAGACTCCCAAGAGGATGTTTCCTCAATCACTACAGTCTTAAGCTGTTCAAGTCTAGAATTAACTGTTATCTTCTCTTCCTATCCATATAAACAGCCCCTTAACATAATCCTCTATTTCAAGTGCCCCCACCCTTACTGTAAAAAAATATAATGTTTTTAAAATTGCATATTTCGAAATAAGTTATATACATGCTTTTTATATATAAACATCAGGGGGATTATGACAATACAGCCCACTTGCTAGCCTCTCCACCACATTGAGTTTTTTTAGATCTGAAGGTTCTTGCATGAGCACCAGTTAAGCAACATCAATCCTAGATGGGTGACCACTTGAGAATAGCAAGTGCTGTAAGCTTGGATGTGCAGGCGATGTAATGGATTAATGGATAACAGCTCAGAAATAGAAATCAAAGAGAAGAGTTCCAATTCCAGTCAGGTTCATTATAATCACTTATGTGCAAATATCCTTGGGAAAGGTATGAATCTACTTATTCTCCCCTTTAAGCTATGGGTTAATTCATAGAACTTGTATTTATCAGTAAATCATTATTATTTCCCTCAAAAAATTCTTACAATCTAAAAATATTTTCTGGCTTTAAATAACTTACAAAAGGTTAATAAACCATAAAAAAAACAAATCAATCGATTGATCAATTTAGATCAGAAGAAGTCTTGATGGAGGGCGGTTGAGATATTTGTGAAACTGAACCTGTTTAGTCACAAGGAAATAAAACCTGGTTATTTCAAAATGATACATAAAAACACTTATTTCAAAATGATACATAAAAACAATTATTTCAAAATGATACATAAAAACACTTATTTCAAAATGATACATAAAAACACTTATTTCAAAATGATACATTTGAACATTTATTTCAAAATGATACATAAAAACAATTATTTCAAAATGATACATAAAAACAATTATTTCAAAATGATACATAAAAACATTTATTTCAAAATGATACATAAAAACAATTATTTCAAAATGATACATAAAAACACTTATTTAAAACTATTTACATTATTTACATTGTTCAGATTGTTGTCCCCATCTTTATTGTCATATTCACAACTAGCAGTAGAGCCCGGCATTGCCCGGGGATGTAACAGTAAGAGATAGATCAAGTATCGACCATCATAAAGACTGAAAAATAAAATTGACAAAGATTATTGTTTAAGGTTGATGGACACGCATGTCTTAATTAATTTTTTGTTTTTTTTTGTTTTTACGAATTGGTCAAACTCAAACAAAAACATTGTTTTCAATCGTTATGAGTCTACCGATTGAATAGAATTTTATTATAAACAATTGTCTTGTAAATGGAATTTTTAAAGCATTCTGAATGTAAAAATAAGGAAAAAAGTGTGCAAGACAATGAGAAACACTCCCTGCCAAAAAAAGTTAAGTTTTGTTGAAATTGGTTGAAAAATGTAGGAAATCCGATCCCATATATAAACACACACACACACACACACACACACACACACAACCAACCTGGGTTTTATAAGTATAATTTGATATGAGTTGTCCCCCTTTCATTCTGGCGACAGAATCGTGTTTTCAAATTGATTCCGTGAAAAAACAATTGTGTTTTTCCAATTTTTGGCGCTGTCAGAACCACCGCAAGGTAATTTTATGTAGTCCTGTGAAGTTTTGTTGAAATCAGTTGAAAAATTTAGGAAATCCGATCCAATATATAAACGTACAGACACACACACACACACACACACACACACACACACACACACACACACACACACAATCTGCGTTTTATAATAAGTAAGATGTTTCGGCCATTGTATGCTCCAACCTTCTTCAGGTGATATACATTGGAATTTCAAACCAAAATCAAAGTATATCACCTAAAGAAGGCTGAAGCATACAATGGACGAAACATCGTGAATATAATAAATGAGTTCAAACAATGGAAATAGTGTAAATAGTTACAATACCTCATCTCAGAAATATAGACACCTGTTTAAAAAAATAAAAATAGTGCATGTATTTTTTTTATTTTTTTTGTGACTTCGGTGTTAATCTCCATGCTATATCAAACTAAACCTTCTGGAAAGACAAGAATCTATGACATTAACAGCAGAATTGCAGTGAACAATCTAAGCATTAGAAATGAGATGCTACAGAACATTCCTAGGCATCTCCTATGTAAACCACATCACGAGACACCATTAAACAAGAAACAATTCCACTGGAAGACCTCGTATCCACTGTCAAGAAAGTTGAAATGGTATGAAGACATCATAAGAGTCAACGATCTTTCCACTACCATCCTACAAAGGAAAATGACAACAGAAAGAACACATATTCAAAAGTAGGAAAAGGCAGCTGAAATTCTTTTGGCACATAATGCAAAAGGAAGGCTTGGAAAACTTAACCCTCACAAGGCATATTGAAAACAAAAGAGATAATATTAAGGCAGTTAGCCACTTATTTGACAAGCTTGTATGAATGGATTGTGGGGCAGTAAAGGGAGAAAAACTGCTAAGAGCCACATGAGATAGGAAGTTGTAGAGAGCCATGATCACCTATGTCATGAAGGGAAGCTGCACATAGAAGAAGAAGAAGAAGAAGAAGAAGAAGAAGAAGAAGAAGAAGAAGTTATATAATTCATTTCTTTTCCTGTTATATAATTAATTTTGCTTTCAAGCAAGCTAAAAGTCAGTGGTTGGAACTTAATTGTTATCAGATTATTAGCAAAGAGGACTCCACAATAGAAATAATTTCAAGGGCAGTACAAACAGTGGCAGATGGTGCAAAATTAAAAACCATCTGGAAAGACAAGAACAACTGCCTGAAATAAAAAAAAAAAAAAGAATCACATTGTTGCATGACTTTTTCTCAATCTTTCTGTATGAATGCGAATCTTGGATAGTGAAGAATCCAAGTGTTAGAAAGATGACACTACAGAATCTTCCTTGGAATCTCTTATGTAGACCACATCAGAAATGATGTAGTGCAAGACACCAGAGGAAGTTGAAATGGTATGGCCACCTCACAATACCAACAATCTTCCCACTTCCATCCTACAAGGTACCACTTTAAGCAAAAAATTAAGAGGCCGACAAAGGAAAAAAAATGGGTGTACATCATCACTGAGTGAACTGAAAGACCATTCACAGAGACTCAGACATTAACACACAATGGAGACATATGGAGGGAGCTGGTCGGGTGCCATGCTTGGTCATTGAATTGATGATGATATATGCAGTCATGATTTCAATATAAAATGAACTTTTATTTGGTCTGAGAATAAGCAATGATTTATCCACCTGCATGTTCTACTATTTAACCAATAGATGGGGGAGAAGATGATATTTGCATGTAAGTGAATGCAACAAATCTAACTGAAATTCCCCAGTCAGATTTCTTCTTAAGTTACAGTTGGTTGCTGACTTCTGAATGCTTAGCCTCTCCATGGATGATAAACATAAAAGCAAGAGGAAAGTGGAGTTGGCATAGACAGGGAACTGTGATGTTGTGCCTTCACACTAGTGTCATCAGCCAGCACTGTCCTTTTATCTTAGTCTGGTCAGAAATGCTTGAGTTATAATTTCAATGTTCTCTTTAATTCTTTCATCTCACGAAGAAGTGCAACTGAGACAAATGACAAAGATGGTATTCATAATATCTTTCACAAATGTGGAAAAGAATATAAGAGAGAGAGAGAGAGAGAGAGAGAGAGAGAGAGAGAGAGAGAGAGAGGAGCCAGCCTTTAAAAGTCAGACGCAAAAAATGGAGATGTTGTATGTGGCAAATACTGAATAAATATTCACCCTAATTTGAGAGAACAGCATTCAAGGTGATTAAACGATTCATTAGTGTAAATGGATTTTGTGAGTGATTGATTTTTTTCTTTTCATAGGATGGGGGGAGATAATAATGATTTATTCTTACTAATTAACCTATAGCTTGGGTGAGAAGAGGTGCAATTCATACCTTTCTCAAGGGCATTTGTGAGTAAGTGAATATAACAAACTCAATGGGAATTGAAACTTGGCTTTCCAGTTAACAATTCCAAACATTATCCATTACACTACCTGCACATCCAAGCTTACAGCACCTGGTATTGCCAAGTGGTCACCCATCTAGGTACTGACCAGGCTTGATGTTGCTTAACTTTGGTGATTGTACAAGAACTGGTGTTTTAATGTGATATAACTAAGCCCTTAGCCCTTTGTGGGTCATTTAAAGCTCAAACATTTTGGATAGTAAGAATAATTCTTTTTTTTGCCAGTAAATATTGCATTAGCAATTTTTGAGAATATGCAATAGCTTTTCCACATGCATGTCCTACTAACTAGCAGGATGAGATGGATTCATGCCTTCCCCAAGGATATTTGTGCATAAATAAATGCAACAAACCTGACTGGAATTCAAACTTTGCTCTCCAGTTTTTCATTCTGAGCCACTAGCCATTACATCACCCCTAGTTTAAATGGGACAAGCTATCGTGAATATATACAGGTTGCTGATATAGCATGAGATCAAATCAGTGAAGATCAGTTTGAGATCTTACCAGAGATCAGCTCTTAAGTAAAGAAAGTCAATTATTACAGTTTCCATCCTGAATTGAGTTAACTAATATTAACAATTGTACAATTCAACCAACTACTTTTATGGGCAGGTGCTTACTCAGTCTTCATTTTCCAGTCTCAATAGAATCCAAAAGCATTTCCACATCCTTATGGATGACAAAATAATTTCTACCCTGCAACCCCTTTCTGACAGATGAAACTCTTGGCTAAGACCCAACATATTGTAGTGAACCACCCTTGTTCTCTTCATATTCCATTGTTGAGATGTAAGTTCCACTTGAGCAGCTTCTGCTACTGCTTTGTAGAACTGACTCTCAAAAGAATGTTTTTCCAATCACTACAATCTTAACATGTTCAAGTCTAGGGTTAACCTTTATCTTCCCCACATACCTACATAAACAGTGCCTTTTACTCTGTAACCCTTCAAGTAGCCCTCAGGCCTTGTACAGGGTGAACATCATTGTAAAAAAAACATACTAGTTTGACCATGCTATAAAAAATAAATTAAAAAAGAACATAATTCTTTATGGAGAAAGTACTTTTAGAGTCTACTTATAACAACATTACCAACTATAAACACATATCAAAAACATTATATTACATTACCAAGCTTTATTGAATCCATTCTTAAAGAATCAAGAATGGGCTGAATATGGGGGAGGTCAGGGTGTGTGATGGCCCCGGGCATCCATATCAGAAGGGCATCCAATCAAAGAGTGAAATAAAACTTTAGTTTATACTAGCAGCATGGTCCGTGCTTGATTAAAAAATCATACGACTCATACAGCAATCGCTATCACTTGACTTAAAATATTTTTGCCCTTCCTTACCTTTAAAGGAGTGCCCTTTACCGTGCTGATGTTGCTACATGCCTTACTTCTTGCCTATCTCACACTGCAAATGTTTTCTAAGCTCTATACTAAACATTAAATGTTACAAAAAAAGAACTAAACAAAATGAACACAACGATCAGCTTTAAAATAGGACTCGTAACTGGGAAAACCAAATGAAAAAAGAATGTTAACAACAAATACTTTTTCACGCCCAACCCAGTTCTGCGGAATCAGAATCAACGTTGAGTTTAAGCAAGTGAATGAGCCAATTGGAGTAAAGTGCCATGCAGATTTAAATTTTCCCACTTGTGATGAATGCAGCTATCGATTGTTTTTGCATGCTAACATGCTAGTTAACATTTGTGTCAGTCAGCTGTTGGCTCTCACGCTGGCCAATAGAATCTTTCTGCCTATTCGTGGCAGCCAGCTATAGGCTCTCACTGTGGCCAGTACAAAATGGCTGCAAACTACATGAAAACTGCCGTAGAAGCATGAAAAAATTGATTATTTCCACTATCGATGGGAGTTGGGAAATGCAAAGTCGGTCTTGGCCTTCCCACTAACTTGGAGCATGTGCATGTAAATTTTGGTGCAAATCCATCGAAAATTGCAACCGTGCATTCGTTACACCCACACACACACATCCTGCCTTTTATAGATAGAGATTTAATTTGAATAAAGTGTTTATTTCATGTTTCATCTGTTTTTACATATTTAAAATGTCTTCTTTTCTCACATTTCTCACTACTAGGCCCTATAGGCACCCCACTAACTGAGTTTTAGGGGCATATAATCAAGGAGTTGGACCCTGTCATCACCAAATATCATCAACACTCTGCCTGTCACTGTAAAAAATCTAATGTATGTTTAGTTTATCTAAAACAAACAGTATGTATGTAAAAATACTCCTAAATCAACATGCGAAAAACCAAAAGTCTACTAGATACACACACACACACATAGAAACAAACACACTTGCAAATATAGATTATTCTCTGAATCCTACAAAAACAAACTAAAATTTTTATACATTTACATACATATAGCAATATTTACAGTTTTTCAGGAATCCACTAATTTCTTAAAACTTCAGATGGACACATCATCTCTTCTTGAATTCAGAACGCCACAAATTATACTAATGTTGGTTTAAAGAGTCAAATGCACATGAAAACTGATTGACCAATAAAAATTAAACAACAAAAAAGTAAAAATACCAAAATTTCTTTCTTCTCTTTGTCTATATCACTGAAGAAGCTTTAATAAAAGTGAAACATGTTAGATTGATAAACGTTTCCTATTTATTCCTATCTTATTAATGAACTCTCTATATATTTTTTTTTGTAAACAATGCAGAACAATGGTGCCATTGTTGGAATGATGGGCAATGGAGTCAATGATGCAGTTGCTTTGAAAAGTGCCAATATTGGGATTTCTATGGGGAAATCCGGCACAGATGTATCCAAAGAAGCAGCAGATATGATTCTTGCTGATGATGATTTTTCCATTATCCTGTATGTAATTCTTACCTAATTTCAATTTCTCAGATTGTAAAATGTTTGTCCTTTCAGCCGTCAAAGGCTTATATATAAAATCTCAATAGATTAAAATCTGTGTGTATTTGTTTCAAATACTTGGACTGTTTCCTACCAAATATTAAAAAAAATATAGCAAATATTTAAAGCAAATTAACTCTTATGATAGAATAAATACAGGATATGGCTGGTATTTGAGGACAGATTTTATAGATTATTAAAAAAAACTTTCTGAACAAATGAATATAATTATATTTGATTACAAACAAGTAAACATGAAATTTAGCTTCTTTTTTTTTCTAAGCATTACACCCCGAGCAAGGCATGAAGCCATTAGGATGCAGCGGGTTGCAGAAGATTTGGAGCAAGAGCAGATAGGAATGATAGAAGAAAGGATGAGGAGAGGGATAGTGGATAGATCAAGGTAACTGGAGATGTTGATTGACATTACATTTGAATAGTTGGAGATTATAGCTCTCAGGAAAACTGGAATTGGGAAGGGTGTTCCACAGGCGAGAGGTGCAAGGTATGAAGCTATTGGAGTAGAAGAAGCGGCATATTTAAAAGTTTCTACAGTGTAAGGGTGGGAGTGGGATGCCAGCCTCATAGGGCGCTTGAATTCATGGAGACTGGGAACCAGTGAAAGCAGCTCATCGGAGCAATTACCATGAAAGTATTTGTAGAAAAGACAGAGAGGCGACGACGCGTCTGTGAGAGAGTGACTGTAGATGAGATGCCAGATCAGGGCCAATTATATTACCTATCCGCCTCTGGATCTTTTCAAGAACTCCGAGGTAAACAGAAGGTGCCCCAGACCATATATGGCAGCAATAATCAATGCAAGGGCGAATGGTTGATTTGTATATTTGAAGTATCGATTCCGGGGAGAAAAATTTCCTGGCACGGCACAGAGAGCCAACTTTCCTTGCGATGGATGAAGCAATTGACTCAATGTATTTGTTCCATCGCAGGTCAGCAGTCAACATGAGACTGAGCAGACGCAGGGAGTTGCTCTCAAGAAGTTGCCTATCAGATATTCTAATGGGGGGCAGGGAAGGATCTCTATTATTTAATTTTATTCAATAAAACCACCACTAGCATCAATAACTTCCTCTACACGAGGTCGAAATCAGCTGCAAGCTCTGATTAATTGATCCTTATTTATGTCAGACATTACTTGAACTATTGCAGCTTTAAGAGAATCTTTAGTGTTATGAGGCTGTTTATTAACCTCCTTCTCAACAATGCTCCACACATAATAGTCTAGTAGATTGAGATCTGGAGAGTTAGGAGACCAAATGTTGGGTGTGATGTGGTCGTACAAATGGTCAGCATCCATTCTTGTGTTTGTAGAGCCTTGTGGGATGGAGCCGAGTCATGCTGGAATATGTAAGGCCTGCCATTGAATATGTTGTCAATCCAGGGCTTGACAACTGTTTCTAGTATCTCAATGTAAGCAGCAGCATTTACTCTAAGACCTTGTGAAAAAAAGTGTGGTGGCATAACATGTCCTTCATTGCTAACAACATCCAATACCATAACACTTGAAGGAAATTTTGTGCACATCACTCTTGGCACCTCAGAAGGATCTGAACAAAGCCATCTGTCATTTCTTCTGTTAAGTTTTTGATCTTGATCAAAATTTTTCTCATCTGAGAAAAACTAAATCACACCAGCTTCTGAAGGATTTTTAAGTTTGTGTAAAAGCCTTTTTGGATCTGTTTAAATGGTTTTCTTTTGTTTTTTCAGACATAAATTAACCTCTCTTCATCATGTAGGACTTGTATCAAATGTCTTCATGAACACTCCTGATTGTTTTTTTAGACAAATGCAGCTTTTTGGCATTTGACCTTATTATTTGATCTCGGTTTTCATCAATTGTCTTCTTGAC